AGACAAACACCAAATGCATTGCCCATATTCATGGCAGGGCATAACATGTCATGTTTGATTATTGGTTTACATAAAAACAGGTCGTAACTTTCAGTCTCGGAATTCAACCCCTAAACTATGGTACATGTATACATGCATGTACAAAAACAAATCAACCGACTGACATTTTCTGCTAAGAAGGAATTAAGACATTGTATTCCTTGTAAGGGATGGGGTACTTATAGTGATGAGAGGAATTTAACAACCTGTCGGTCCATGAAACATTATTTTGGAATGTCTGTATACAGCTGCGTGGATTTTCTTAGAATGAAATTAGTATTTTTTGAAATATCTAAATAATTTTTTTATTGACGCCGTGATATATTTGATAGGCTGTATAATAGCTGTTCGGATATAGTGCCGTTTGAAGGTTCAACACCTTTCTTTTAATATAACCAAAGGTTCTATTGATCTTTTTCCATATAGTGGGAGAAAGAAGAAAACGTATGGGGTCGTTCAAAAACAAATTAATGAGTTGTGTTTTTCATCTACAGACACTTTTTTTCTTCTGATTTTCCTTTTTTTTTTTTGAATTGCCGTTTATTTTGTTTACAAGCTTGTGTTCATACCGCTGTTCATACGCGCTACCAATGTGAGAGGAGAAAACAAGACGTCGTCAAGCAACAATGACTGAGCAGATGGACGTTTATATACATTGTAATCATTATAGAACCAAATATCAGAGCGAATCGATAATTTAAGTACCTATTTCAATGCAAAGGAATTCAATAATGAAGGAAAGAATTTGATTTATATTTTATGATAAATAGGCAATGACGAATTTTCTTATTTTGTAAAATCGTATTCTGAAAGCTCTGAATGTATATGTTTGGTCGCTCTTCTATGTAAAAGTTCATACATATTAAACATGTAATTATTATCGGCTGCGGTAGCGGCCAATCTTTTTGTGATTGTGTTAGAGAGTGCACATGGGGAAATGAGACGTTTTTTTTTTTATAACTTCAATGAAATAATTCGTAAATTATAACAAGAAAAAATCATGCGTAAAATATTTTAAAAACTTGCTTAAACTTAATATTAAATGTTGAAATATATTTCAATTTCATTGTCATTAATATCTCATGATCATCGACAATTTATGGTCATATAAAAAGAGTTTACATTAGATACTCCCCAGCCTGAGAGTGTGTAAGATTTGAAAAGAAATCTCTTGACTTTCCGGATAATGATGATGTGGTTAAAGTTTATGGTGAATAAAAAAATGAGGAGTTTTTCAGCTTCTAGTAAAAATTGTTTTGAATTTGCTCTACATCTACAAATGACACAAAGATCATGAAGAATTTATTTTTTTATTTTGCACTGCGGTTTGCAGCATAGCCTGCTCTGCAGAAACCATGAGCATTATCACATAATCAAGATTCAGGGTATCGAGGCTCGGACAGGCCTACACCTTCATTTTGATGACAATAAATTCTTCTTATACATCAATGAACATGATTTTTTTTTAAATCGATAAATCTATTTATGAGCAAATGCGGTAAAATTATTTTTTATTTTGCTTTGAAAACAGCCTGAAATAGAGTTGAAAAACTACAGGTACTCTTCAGAAGTTCTCGATCTTTGAATATATATAACTAAGCAAATTTACTCCTGATCTCTCGAACTTCTATCTCTCGAAGTTCTCTATCTCTCGAACCAAAACAAGGGTCCCGTTACACGTATTTCATAGAATTTTACTCTCTATCTCTCGAAGTTTTGATTGCGTGTGTATATAAGCCAATCAAGCGTAAAATTGATGCAGCCGTGAACTTACCTGCAAAACAGTGAACGCCTGGGGCTTGGTATTGAGGTGTTAATTGGGTGTTTACATAGATGACACTTCGCCTGTTGGTAGTCCGTGTGTTGATATAATTAATTGATTATTATTGGTAAATTATAAACTGTTTTAAATTCACAACTTTAATATTTTCAATTTAACTTAAAAAAAACGAGACGATAATTTTTAGAAAATAATTTATTGTCGAATCTATAAGTTCCTTTAGGGTATGAACTTTTATTAGGGTCTTCATAATTCCAGTATGGCAAATATTGCACAAGAAATTCCTTTCTCAGAACTAAATACCGATTAAGAAAAGCCTTGTGAACACTGGTGAACAGGTGAAGGACCCGATCAAGCCGCGGAATAGTCAAACCGACAATTGCTATTCGGATTTCATGTAATCATTAAATAAGAACAAATAAGTATTGAAACTTTAGGAATTCGATTTATTTAGTTGAAATACGATCATTGTTGTTGATATCAAGTAAATATTACCTGTAAAATACGATAGAAAACGTGCAATAACTTTATTTACATATACTTCCGGTATCTATAAAAGTAGAACTTCGATGATCGGAACTGAAAATTCCGGATTTTATTTACTTTCTATCTCTCGAACCCCTCGATCTCTAGAACTTTTCTTGCGGTCCCTTGAACTTCGAGAGATCGAGAGTCACCTGTATTTCAGCTTTGAATATATTGACATGTAACTAAACTTGCAGCCAATTGATGCTTTGCATGCACTGACATTGTACATGTACAGGCATGTAAAATATTCTGTTTATTTAACAAAATAGTATACCATTCTGTACAATATCATTTTAAGTTTAGTAGCAAATAACTGCAAACTCAAAAGTGCTTAATTTCATAATGGATTTCCCACTGTGAATTAGAAACATTAACTCAACTTACAATTATTATGCATGCGTACATGTACAGTGGAGCGTCATTTATCTGGACGCTTTGGTTCCTAGTCAATTTGTCCGGATATGTGAAGCGTCCGGATATCTGAATTACCAGTTAAACAGGACAAAATAACAATACAAAATTCTGTTTCGATGAAAAGTCGTCCGGATACTGAAGCATCCGGATATCTGGCGTCCGGATATGTGAAGGTTCACTGTAGTTTAATATTCATAAAACAATTACCATTTCGATAGATACAGGAAAAAATGGTATAAACCTAGCTCGTGTTTTTTTTCGGCTATCAAATGGCATAAAACTTGAAATGAAGAAATGCACAAGCGATTACGATTGATTAAAACAAGCTGAAATAGAGTGAAATTGAATGATATGAAAGGAGTCGACCTGATTTCAAACCAAATTTTCCATTTGTAACTATCGGAGTACACAACGGATTTTCAAATCGACATACCCGCTGCTATCTGTGGACACATGCTTGTAAATGAGGACTGGGCTACAAAATTTTAGACACAAAGCGACAAAGCTGGATGTAAACTGTTTATTACAAATACGTGAATAATAGTATATTTTAAAGTATTTTTTTAACGTTCAGTGTTTATTAATATTAAAAAAAATAATGGAAAAACAAAAGAGTGATGGTAAAAAAACGTACATAATAGTATAGTACGTATCACAAGACTTCCATCACTAATTATAATTATTTGCCGAAGTCCCTTTTCAATTACAATTTAAATAAAATACATTAACACGGAATAGAGAAATAATTTTGCGTGAACAGGCCAAAGAAAGCGATCACAATTCAAAATGATTTATGCACCAGTGTTTCGAATTACGATTAAATGAAAGATCAGTGAAGTATTCTTATTGATTCGATAAATTAAAAACATGATTTTCTATAAATTGATAGGTCTTTGTACACAATAGATTTTAAACACGATCACAGACACTTGCATTGTTTACGACAGGTGGCTGGTACACTAGTGACCTCGCGCGTTGGATTACATAACTGTTACAACATCTAGGCGATCTTGAAGATCGCCAAATGTATACAACTAATGATCGTTAATTATTCGATGCATAAAGTTAAAATAACTTATAATTGGAATAATAATCAATGTAGAAGGATAGATTTAATATATTCCGTTTATGAAGACGTGTTCACTATGAAACTAATTTATAATAAATAAAAAAGAAAGACTTATCGTTATAAATAATTTAATAGTGAACAGTAAAGCACGTATAAAGCCCTATTTAGAAAAAAATTAACATTAAATACCTTAGGTTTTATAACTGAAAGGAAGTTTGTGTAAATTATACACATGAAGAGGTCTGATTTCCTTTCCGAATGAAAAACGCTACCTGTTTACCTGGCCTGCTTTCAACTGCGTATTACGCAATACCCCTGGTATAATCAACACAAAACATTTTCATCAGATTAAAAAGGTGTCAAAGAACAGTTTTGTTCGTATTATCCAGATCGAAATATTTACCGCTTTTGAGTTATAAAGCAAAAACTTTCAAGCTCCATAAATCCCTAATCGTAGGGGCCAGCCTCTTTTAAATAGTATTATATGCAAGCCCTTGCAATTATGCACAACTTTTGTTAAACATGGCTTAACAAAATATTTTTAGTTTTCAAGATAAAAAGAAAAACATGTGTAAATTTTCGCTCTTTTAGGCGTTCTATTTTTTTGACCCCTCTATATCGCCATTTTGAATAGAGAAATCGAAAAACAAAAACCGATGTGCACAACTTCAAACCTTCTGTTATCTAAAACCACTAAAATTTCTGCTTCAGCTCTAGTGGTCTCTGAGCCTTTGCCTGGAAATGAAAGCCTATAATTTTTCGTTTAAAGGGAAATAACTCAAAACCGGAAGTGACTTTCTGAAATTATCGACAACATTCTGATAGAGTTTATTACCCTCTATAATGTCTGAAAATTTGAGCAAAATCCATTGGGAAATGAGTGAGGTATGAGGCCTCAAAGTTGGCGTCTAGGAAGAAAAAAAAGAATAAGAAGAATAATCTTAATCTTCAGAATCAGTAAAAGGTCTTCCGTTGGAAACGGAAGACCTTAATAAACTATAATTTCTTTTAAATTATTTAATTCAATTGAACCATTAAACCATTAATACATGTGTTTCTAATACTTGCATAAAACATTGTGGTTTTTTTTTTTTTTTTTTTTTGTAAATTTTGCAAGATTTATCTGCTGGTGTGTTTGAAACAATAGTCTTGCTTTTTTTATTGTTACAGATTACTTTCTTTTTTGGATGAAATCCATTCACACGTACTGTCATGGACATTCTTGTAACGACAAAGATAGTAACCTTACAATCATTATTGTTGCAACAAACTGGAACAAACGCGTGTACAAGGTACAACAGATTTGGAGACTTTTTTCTTTCTAGGATATCGGTGAAAAGAAAGTTTGCTTTAATTTTGTGACATGTGTAATATTGAATTTATTTTCTTTCTAAATTTTCTCTATGCGCTTTGTAACGTGTGTAAATGGACTTAGTGAAATGGATGCCGGTTATATACAGAACTATCGGAAAATCAGGATATTTAAGTCAAGCAATGTGAAAATTTATTGTTGCGCTTTATTTTTATGAGTTTTTAATGATTTCTTTCTTGCTTTTTTCTGTGCAAGAATACAAATTCTAACTTATATTATATTATGTATTTACATGTATATAATTAAAGTATTTAAATGAGGGCGAAACCTCGGGAAATAGTATTAGTTAAATGGAACGGGAATCTTCCTCAATCCTTTAACAATTCACTGTAAATTTTCCATTTTATCAATTAAAAAACAGGCAAACTTAGATCCTAATATTTGCAACTATAAAGTGCGCATTGCAAAATTGAAACTTGGTATGCATAAATCTGCAAGTAATAAATGAATTATGTTATTTAGATTTTGCCCCCTTATCTGTCACTTTAAACAAGCTGCGTTTTGAATATGCTGATTTTATGTGTATCAATTTGTCATACTGAGGAATTCTTTTTTTTTTTTAAGAAAAACAGTCATCTTACTGTCATCGTTAGAGAATAAAAAACATTTGTTATTACAGGAGAAAGCTGATTTCCTTGATAGCCTGCATGGGGTATTGCCTGGTAATTGCATCCTTGGCCAATATATCAGAGAATTCAGATGTTTCTGCAAAGATTTATTGACTGACCCAATCTATGACATTGAAGAATACATCGCGCAAATAGCAGCAGAGGAAAAGTGGATTGAAAAAATTCCCTGTGAGTGGATACAGTCTGATACACTTCAGAGAGAAAAGCATAGGCGGATGATGAGTCTAGACGAAATAAGAAATCTGTTTAGGCATATTCGAGATGAAAAACTAGTGCTTGATCTAGCAAATGATATGTTAAGATTTTACCATGATGCTGGTAAGGTTCTTCACTTTGACGAAGAATATCTAAGGGACTCGGTCATAATTGATGTCCAGTGGTTTGTAAATGCATTTAAAATAATTATGACGGACAGGCATCATGTGAAAGGAATCGTTGCTAGAGGACATGATTGGAATGAATTCTACAAAACAGGAAATTTAAAAGATGCCCTTCTCATCGATATATGGAAAGAAGAGGATAAAAGGCTTTTGGGGAATAGGACTTCATCACCTACTGCAGAATTTGATAAAGATCCACTTTTTCTTCTGTTTCACAAAGAAAATTTATTGTTGTACATGCAGAGATTGGGTTTGATTTCAAGTGAAGGCGAGACACACTACATTCCATCTATGAATAAGAAGGACTTCGGGGAAGAACAGAAAGAGATAATCAAAAGGTCGAGTACAAAGACTTCAGTTCTAGTAGTCTTGTTTGACTTTTTGCCGTATTTTTTATTTTATCGTTTAGTCGTAGGATTAATGCAATTCGAAAATTGGAAAGTTCTTGAGAGTGAGGGTATCAGCTGTTTATACAAAGATGCCGTCATGTTCAACCACAAAAGTCATAATATTGCCATAGCAGTAACTCCATCTACAATTCAGCTTCAAATATTTCACTCCATCTTTCCAACGACACTGCTCCCTGAAGTGACTTTGTCTATTAGAGAAAAAGTTGAGTCCATTTTGCAGAGTATGACAAAATCTTTTCACAAAAGTCTTGCTTACAAAATGGGATATCTATGTAATAGAGATGGAAATCAAATTATAGGCAAAGAAGTGGCTCACAATTTTATTGAGGAAAACATATTGGGATGTGGAAGCCATATGGTATGTCCTAAACATGAAGTGGAGGGGTTCCACACAATAAACCCTCATTACTTGCGTCAATACTGGAAATAAAAATGCTTTTCCCATTTAAAAAGATTTTACGGATCCCGCGTTATGTACGTTATATATTTTGCTAATGTTAAATGGTTTACTGATCCCACGTCTGATATTTTGGTGGTCTATGTTTGCTCTGTTCCTATTTTGTGTTTTTAATGGACTTTTGAGCTTGAATACTGTTCGTTATAGGCAAGTAAGCCAGGGCTAATTAGCGGCTTTTCTATGCAAATGAGCTAATGAAAATGCATAATTTGTGTAATTTTTGCAAAGAAAAGGTTCAGGCTTATTTTCTTATACATAGTTGGTACACACAACCTTGTTAAGCAACTGCACATAATGACGTCATATCTTGACGTCATTGATCTTTTCCATTCAAGGTAAAAAATAACACTGGCGCAAGGGCATATCCTATGTAATTTAAAATAAATAAACTAAAATATTATGAAGAATGCTATAAAAATTAAGAAAATAATTGCACTAATCCTGGGCGCTTTCTCAATTGATACAAAAATTGATACAAAAATTAGAAAACTTACACCGGAAATCGAAATTTTACCCTGTTTCAGCATAAAACTTAAAGAAATGAACCACTGCACTGTCGAGATTTTGAAGTATTAGCGTAAATCCTTGGGATATTTTGCGTCTAATAATACCTTGTTTCCGAGGAACTAAATTGATTATGCCCTTGTCCTGAAGCTATTTTGTTGATGTTCCTTATAAACTTGTAAGTACATGACTATGACGTTATAATGTGCACTGGCTAGGGCATGTCGTGGATGCAAAGTTTGTATAAGAAAACAATTTTAGTTGCAATTATTTAAACCCTTATGCGTTTTAATTAGTCATATTGCATAGAAATTTCTATACGTTGCCTTAACTTACTTGCGTATTCATGTATTTCATTACTACGCTGAGATATGCTAGTAAACTTGTTTATCATGTTTTAATGGATGTTGATGCAATCATATATTTCTTACATTCGTAAACATTTGTTTTTTTTTTTAGATTGCTTGAAAATTATAATTGTTATAACTTTGTTTGTATCTCGAATAAGTTGTTTTAGAATGAAAACAAGTTGCTGTCCTTTGAAAGGGACTGCAATACGTGGATCATATATATGCATGTGTTTCTAATCGAAATTCAATTCAGAAAAAGTCAAGGTGTGGGGAATATCCATTTTTTTTTTCATTTTCGACAATGATCTGCCTTCATATGACTGATTGTAGTCTCAAAGCAAACTTGTTAATTTTTTATTTCTGATTAGCGGCCTGTAGTTTTGTCATTTTAAAAAAATCGGGCTTCATGTATTTTGATACAGTCCCTGAAACGTTCTACTTTCCCTTTTTTCCGTTCGCTCACCGTTCGTTCACCGTTCGTTCAGCGTGCGTTCACCGTTCGTTCAGCGTGCGTTCACCGTTCGCTCTCCGTTCACAGTTTTGCGTTCACCGTTTACCGTGCGCTCGCGTTCACCGTTCACAAAACGTTCACCGTTCGCTCTTCGTTCCGTTTAGTTTGCGTTCACCGTTCACTTATCGTTCAGTCTTTATTGTCATCTGGAAATCCGAAGTGAAAGGACTTATCTTTTTGATGGTAAGGATTTACACGTTTTTTAATTAAATAACTAAGATATCGTGTTTGAAGAATAATTATTTCAATGCAAAAAGTATCTACGATATATATATTTCTATTATTATAACTTAGCTGTTACTTTATCAATTTTTCCCTGGAAAAAATACATTAAGAAAATACATATAAGTAGAACGATGCTAAAATATTAAATTCAAATAAGGGCAATGTCCCTAAACAAATACTTAAAGCGCGGCATTTCGTTATAATATAAAAGACGACAAAAAATCGTTAATAGATGAATAATAATCTTGTAAAAATCTTTTACAAGACAAGAATACACAAAAAATATGTCTAACAAGTTTTTAAAGAAAAAATAAACAAAAACATGCTAGAACTATATGTCTGAGAATTATGAATACATGTAGTACTACAGATATTCAGTTAATTAAATATATATAGAGCGAATTAAATTGTTAGTGTGATTTTGAATTTTAGAAAAGACAAACTGTTTTAAATTTAATACAATAGAAGTTTTGGTTCTACATCCCGTATATAAAGTGTATCATTACAAAGGGAAAAAATTCCTTCAAGTAACTAAATATACGTTTGCCATTCAGTATGCTTAACAGCCACACCCCCCCCCCCCCCCGGCACCCTTTCTCCCGAAATCAAATTCTTAGTTAGTATTTTCAGTATATATTAATTAATATTAATATTCAATGTGTACTGTAAATGTAACACAGAAAAAATTATTCTTTATACATACAGCAAAACAGTCATTATATACATACATGTGCCGACAGTGGTATTTTGAATTGGCAGGGATTATGTTTTAAATTCAATTTCAAACTTAATCCTTCCAGGTATGCACATGTAATGCAATTATTTATTCATTTTTTCCATAGAAAAGCGAAAATCAATTTTAAAAATGATGTATGAACAAAATGTTAAAACTTCTCGGGAATACGAAGTGACTCTTTGACTTCGGCATGTTCGGTGAAGCGAGATTTAAACACCTCCATTGTGTCGAATTATTTTGATTGACAGGACAAGCACGTGCACTTGTAGTGAATCGTTTGATCTTGAAGGGAAAAAAAAACGATGCTTACTGTCAAATGGATTTGTTAATCAAAAAAAAAATGATTACTTTGACTGCCTGGAATATTAGAAAAAAAAAATTAATATATGAATTTTTATTCGATGCAACAAATCTCTCTCTCTCTCTCTCTCTCTCTCTCTCTCTCTCTCGTTTCTATCGCTTTTACATTTGAATAAAAACTATGACAACATATTTATTATTTATTTAGTTCTGAAATTCTAATGTATTACAAATAATTTGAATGATTCTATCCATTATCTTGTCCGAGTATACAGTAATCATGGTCGGGAAATGTCTTCAGATATGCATTTACATGTAAAACTTAGCTTAGAAAATATCCAGAGAAAATAAAAATAACTAATAAAAATTAATAATATTATTGCATTAAAATTTTTAATACGAGTGAATGGTGCAATATGTCAACAGACCTTTATAAATTAATTTAAAAAAATCGGTATTTTACACGGAATCGCCGTGACATCGAAATATATATTATTTAGTTTTAATCTAATAATTCATTCTGTAAGTATAGTAGTTTTCTCTTCTGAAGTCCACATTATTTTAATAGTCAAAAGAATAAGCAGATATATTTTATTAGTAAATTAATTTTATCTTTTATACGACAGGTGTTCGGTAACAAACACACATGTTTTACGGCAATAAAAATCGTGTTATTAAAATATTGATTTAAAACTTCATACGTATGTGCAGAAAAAATGTTTTAATTATTTATTCACTTATTTATTTACTGTTTATTTATATTTAAGCATCTAACATTAGAATATAACAGAATAATTTAAATGCAAGGAAAAAATCTGAGGCATTCCGAATAAATCGTTCATCTTGCGTTCACCGTTCACCGTTTGCGCTCCGTTCGCGTTCTGCGTTCACTCACCGTTCTCCGTTCACACATCGTTCACCAAGTTGCGTTCAGCGTTCACACACCGTTCGTTCACCGTTCGCTCTGCGTTCGTTCACCGTTCGTTCAGCGTTCGCTCACCGTTTAGGTGGGAAAGTAGAACGTTTCAGGGACTGTACGTGTAACCCATACTGGCTAGGACTTGGAACGGTGCATTCCCGTTTCGCCTTACACGTAACTGTGAAATACAGGTAAGATCAAGATGTGTTTGTGAAACACTGATGCCCCCGTATGGCAACGTAGCAAAACTTTTCTTAAATGCAAATTTATTTAATTGTTACCCAAATTAGTGTATTCTCACTGGAAAACAATTGTGAAATTTGAAAGTAAACCAATGTTAATTTTTATTTCAATAAGTGCAAAATCTCCAAGGGCAAGGTCAAAAGGTTAGTGTAATTGGTATCAAATGAAAGGTCTTTCCACATAGACTCCTTATGTAGAGCATAAAAGCCCTAGCCTGAAGAGTTCAAAAGTCATGGCCAAGGTTCAATGTTTTAAAAAGTAGGTCAAACTCCGTCAAGGTAATAGGGTCAACGTTCTTGTTATCAAATGTAAGGTCTTGTCACAAGGGTTAAATATGTAAAGTATTAAAGCATTAGCCCAAACCCTTTAAAAGTTATGGTCAAGGGTTGCTTTTTTTAAGTAGGCAAATTTCAAAGGGTAAGGTTAAGGGGTCAAAGTTCTTGGTATCCAATGAAGGGAGTTTTCACAAAGATTACATATTTGAAGTATGAAAGCCCTATCCCTTACCGTTCACAAGTTATGGCCAAGGTTAAAGTTTTTTTTCCACAAGTGCAAAAAATCTACAAGGTAAAGGTCAAAGGGTCAATGTTGTTGGTATCCAATCAAAGGTCTGTTAACAAAGATTACATATGTGAAGTATAAATGTCCTGGTATCTAGTGTTCAAAAGACAACGCCAAAAAAAAAAGTTTAAAATTTTCATGTACAGTTGATCAATCTCCAAGGTCAAGGTCAGAAAGTCAAATTTGGTGTTACCCAATAAAAGTTCTTGTCACAAGGAATACAGACATGAAATACGAAAGTCATAGCTCCTCTAAATCAAAAGTTATGGGCAAGGTTAAAGTTTTTGCGGACAAACAGACGGACAGAGAGACAGAGCGACAGACAGAGAGACTGACAGCTCAGACGGACACGACAAAAAGTATATACCCCCGAAACTTCGTTTACAGAGGCATAAAAAGTTAAAAAGCACTAAGGCAAAATGGGAATTTTAGTATTTTTAAATATCATTACTTGGTTGATATAAAAATTTAAATGATAACAGTTTTAAGATTGAATTTAACAGTTAATGGGAATTTATGAATACAGTGAATGAAATAATACTTGTAACACCA